TTATCTCCTGCTAATAATTTATTCTACTTATTTATTAATAGAATAAATAAAATACGTTGATTCATTCTAATTAATGCTACATTGCAAAGTCAGATATTTTTAAAAAACAAATTAGCAATTATTTATTATTATAACATCATCAAAATGCCGAGCTGCAATTCAATTTATAATCATATTTTTAATTTATTTCATTTAAAATATATTCTCTCCATCTTAAATTTGTAGTGGCTTGTCCCTGTATATTATACTTTTCCTTTACAAGGCAATGCAAGATTAGTGGCCAGCATTCGAAGATTACATGACAAGTCTTTTTATTAACACGTTAAATAACTATTACAAATTCTGTATTATGATAATGATTTTTAATTTATTATAGCTTAAAAATACATTCAAAATAATTTATAACAATATTGTTTTTTAAAAAACAATTTGATTCGGTTTAATTTGCAATGTAGCATTAATAATTATATTATTTGTAATGAATCGGCATTTAAAGTTACTTTAATCCAGAAGAAGCTTATAAACTAGAAAATTAAAGTCAGTTTATTATTTGGAGGTAAGAATTTATATAATTTGTAAATTTTTATTAAAAATATCATTACTTTATATTGAAAATAAAAGAAATTGTAACCAGAATATTCTTATGGAACAAAATTAACACGAATAGAATAAACTGGGATACTGTTTCGCATACTTTCCAATCTTTAGAAATCTCAATTTATTCTAAATCCCATTAAAAAACTGATGAAACCAGGTTAAAAAGTAAAGTTTATGCTGAGCTCTAGTTTTTCAATCTGGTTTTCACCAGTTTTTTTAATGGACTTTTAAGTATTTTTCAGTCGTGTATAACCTCATAATAAGATAGAATTAAAACTTCTCAGATAATAAATATATAAAATTTGATGCAGATCGGGCTAAGAGTATAGGTTCTATTTTAAAATCATTATGCTTGTATTAATTAATAGATTAATAGTAATCGCATATGGCTTATAATTTTGTAAATAATCAATATTTTAAAATAAAACCGTCAAAAGGATCACAAAAGACATGGTCAGCTCTCAAAAGCTATTAACTATACGCAGACTCCTAGATTTTCCGGTAGCTTGGTGTTGCGAAAATCTCTGTGGCCCACCAAGGGTCAAACGGTTCCGTTCCCTGAACACTGAGGGTTCGGTAGTGGGTTCGAACCTCTTCAGGACAGGATAGCCACGTGGAGTTTTCTGGGTTTTCTCTACGTCTGTAACGCCTGAATAGGGCCAGTTACCCTTAAAAAACCTCCCAGAAGGCACCCCCTAGGCAGATCGTCCAAGTGTTGCGTTGCCGTAACTTAACAAACAAATAAAAATCTCATTGTAAATCTAGTGGAAAAAATGCAAAATTTGGGATTGCATAAGTCCAGAACAATCCAACGAATTCATTCAAAATTTAAGACTCCCGTATTCCTCATCTCAGACACTAAATATTTTAAATTTCATCCAAATTGGTTCGTCGGTCTTGGAAATATTAACTGTCAAATTTGGGAATTTAATATTAGACGCGTATGGCTGATATTTAACGGTTAAATTTTTAAACTAAAAGTTATAAATATATATTTATTTAAATCCCTAATAAGGGATTTCGATCATATGTAGACCCTCTTCAGCCATTTTTACAATTCTCACCAAGAGGAATCTCTGTTAAATATAGTTATACAACCACTTAATACAGAGTGTCTGTGTGAACTGTTGATAGAATATACGAAGAATTTGTTACCAGATGACTATGAGCCTACGGACAGTTAGCAATGTTTACCCATGTAAACTTTACTAATTAAATTAAAACAATGCAGGTTGGTTTTATCTTTTGTACTTTTATACATTAAGTTTAAATTTGGATGTTATAATGTAAGTTTGCAATTTGCACGTATCAATACAAAAGTGGCTGAGAGGGTCTATATATGACCGAAATGCATTCCACGAATAATATTAGTCTTTTAATGATGTGATCTTAATTATTTTGTCGTTCCAATACAGTTTGATAAGTCTCCTGTATCTCCATCAATTGAAAGTTTGAAGTTATTAAATATATTCCTGAAAAGTGAAATTGAAACACCAAGAAGTAATGCGCGTAGCCACACAAATTGCAGGGCCTGTAGAGGTGACAGAGATATGAAAATGATTAAGTTTGTGTACGCATCGGATCATGTGGTACTTAGTTTCGGGCTATAAGACTAGCAGCCGGCTCGGGGCATAAATGCTATCAGCAACGGTTCGGGGAACTGTCGAATAACTGTAGAAAATGCCTCGGAGATGACGGCATGCTGAATACCATCAGTTAATGGCTGGGGAATGAGACATTATACTGGAGCTGCGCGATCTCAGGTTGGCGATGCGAGCAGTTGCCACGCGTGTTGGGCACGACGTGAGTACCATCTAGCTATGTGTGACACGATGGATGCAGGAGCATCTGCGAACACGCCGAAGAGGAAGTGGATCGTACCAGCGCACAGACTGGCAGATTCGCCTAACGGCCCGTCGGAACCCGTTCGCCATAGCACATGACATCAAAGCCGTCTGTTCCCGTCAATGGGTGCATCTGTATTCACCCAAACATTCGCAATAGGTCGCATGAAGTCTGGCTGTACACACGGCAGTCAGCAACGGGAGTGCCATTAACCACTCGAAACAGGACTACACGCATGGCGTGGTGTCGTCGTTATCGCAATTGAACCACGGAATGACATCAGGTATTGTTTACGAATGAATCCCACTTCTGTTTGTGGAGGAATGACGTGGACGGATGTGGCAGTATTCAGGGAAATGCTATGTGTCGGCCCTTTTCGTCGAGCGTAACATAGGCCGAACAGCGGACATCATTGTTTGGAGAGGCATCATGTCTGATCAGCGAACAGCCCTAGTGCACATTTTTGGTACTCTGATAGCAGGCCAAGTACGTCACACGAATTGTGGGGCCTGTCGTTTAGCCAGCCACTGGTGCAGGCCGTATCCGACGGTCTTCCAGCAAGCTAATGCCCGACCGCACGCCACATAGTGAAATGGAGACAACCGCCAAATACTGTAGATGACATGCACCGGCAGTGGACTCAGCTTGGCAAGGTATTCCTCAGGCAATCATTTATCGCTTCATTGATAGTATGCCTCACACTATATAGCGGTCCGTTAAACAGGTGTCTGTTGCATATCTTTGTTATTTCATTCATTTGCATATCTCTGTTACCTCTATCTGTTCTGCAATGTGCCCAAGCGCATTCCTTTGCGATGTTGATATTTCACTTTTGAGGAGTGTAACTAGTTATTTATACTTGCATTGAAATTAATCATTGTTTACAAGTATATTCCATTGTATTAACTGTATGTTTTGTGTATTATACTAATTCAATGAGTTATTACAAATTGCATTATCTAGGCAATACCGGATGATACTTACTTTAAAGTAACAGTCGAACAGATGGATACAAGACCACTTTCTGTATATGATAGCGAAGTTAGTGGTGCAATTGCGTGAGTATTTTATTATGAATATTAAAAACTCTGATTTCACAAAAGAAAAATCATTTACATCTTTCATTTTTAACTAATTTATTCTCTGTAAATAACATTACAGAAATTTGAGAAAAAATATACTTAGAGATAAGAGATTATGTATACCAGTAATCGCACTTTCGATTTTGATATTCAGTCTCATTATTACTGTAATTGTATTAGCAGTTTCACCCTCAAGTAAGGAATGTTTATTGTTATTAATATTATAATATTTCGCTAGTTTTATAAGGCCATATCTTAATATCCACTAATTTAAAAAGATAAATTTTCCAGAGAAAAAAAAATTATTTACATTGTTCGTGTTTAGTGAAATTAGTCTGAATATTTAATCTCAATTATATTATGTTAAAAGAAAGAGTTATTTCCTTTAAAAATTGCTCACGATAACTATGGAANTAATGACAATTCTTCCCTAAAAAACGATTTCTGTTAAGAAGTGAAGTTTGGCAGGTTTCTGGGCATCTATCTCACTTAGTGATCTTGATCGTTGGAGGCGAAAATGTTACCTTCTGAAGAATGTCAAATAAATTTTCTCCCGTTTAAATCGTTCTTTCCTCTTTACTGCCTGCTAAGTGTGAGTATCATATAATGCAGGCGGATTTTCTCTCCATCTGTCTGTTCGCCTAAGTATGTAACTATTCTTATCGTTTAGTTACCCTTTTAAGGTTACGTTGCTAGTTATGTTTACAATTCATTTAGCATTATAAAATAGTCAGTCAACTTTACAAAAACATATTTGTAAGTAGTGTGTACCAAGTTTATAAATATAAATTGTATAAGTACAGCTGTACAATCCCACTTTGGCCACCACCAACATGCAACTCGTAAAGAATAATAACGTTTGTTCCTTCTCAGCCAGGTATAGAAATAACGAGATAAGGACACCAATTTACCTGAACGTTATGATAACTATAACTGAAATTTTGATTATTATAAGCAAAGTTACATTAGTGTGTGTTTAACTTATGTGGTTTGGGATATATAATTCTGATAACATTGTAGGACTGATAACAGCCGTGATTACAATAAACGAATTCACTTATTGAAACCTTGGATTTTACAAAAATGCATTCACATTATGATTTTCAGTGACTTATATTTACTTATACTTTATAATTGATATTACAGATTTTCGGGAAAAAGTAACAACAAAAACAAGAGATTATGTATAACTCTAAAAGCTTTTTTGACTTTGATAAGCTGTATTGTCATCGCTGTAATTTTAATAGTAGTTGTGGGTAAGGAAGTTTATTGTTATTTCTTATTTCATCGTAATATTTATTAATTTAACACAGGGGTTACCAATCTTCGTCACGTATCGACTCACATTTTATTGGTTCAGCTTAAACATTCATCGACCTCTAAGGGGTTAATACCGACCTTTTTAAGAAACCCTGGTTAAAAGAAAATTATTAATAAATTATATATTTTTTAAGATTTCACTGTTTAATATGATTATTGATTATATACAGGGTTAGTCAAAAGTCGAAAACTCGAGTATCTTAAAATGTTTAATGTTAGATAAATATAAACTTAGCAGCACGTTCAGGGTACAGACAGTTGAATTCTACAGCAATTTCATCTACCAAGAATGAATGTCATTTTATTCTTTAACTATTTCACCTGTAGGCACCAAGCGGGTCATTTTAGCGTTAGTGAGGGACTGGGCCCGACATAACAACATTAATAAAGACAGTACTGTACATTGGGTTTGTTTACTAGTTAGTTGCAAATTCGCGAAAGAGGGAACGAGTTTACACACATAGCGAGTACCAATTATACTTGGCTAGTAAATTCGCTTACTCGCTTAGCCTTTCCAGTAATGAAATAGTTTTAAGCTCGAACAACATACGTAATAAATAGTATATTTACTGTTTTAATACATAATAGTAATGATTTAGATTTAGCTAGCATTAAGCATCTTAAAAACATTTTTGACTCACTCTTCACGATTGTGCTAAAATAGAATCGTTATTCTTATTGAATATATTTTATTTTTCAAGCGATAAAATCTCAGTTAAAAGATTCTCGTACGGAAGATTCCGATATAATTTTAAAGAATCCGATAAATTTTGGTAATTTAATTCAAATTTATTTAAAGTTTAAATCATAATTTTTCGTATATAATTTATAAAAATTTAATATTTACTCAATTAGCTAAATCTATATTGAATTCAATAAATGAGTCGGTTGATCCTTGTGAAGATTTTTATCAATTCAGTTGTGGTAGATGGATAGCAGAACACGAGAAAAATGAATTTTCAGTTACAACTACAACTATTCTATATAATAAATTAGATAAAGATTTTAAAGGTTTGTATAATTTTCTGTTTATGACAAAGGATTAAAATTGATAGTATAAGATAACGCGACTCGAGGACGATCTGCCAAGTGGGGTGTCTGAGAGAGGACATCCCATGGTAAACTGGGTCATATTTAGGTGTTAGACACATGAAGAAAACCCAGAAAACTTCACGCGATCAGCCCATTGGTGAGACTCGAACCCAATACTAGATTTCAGTGCTTTGTTTTTGAGAAAGAAACACACAACGTAAACTGAAATTCTAATTTAGAAATTGCCATTTATAAGTAAGGCATTTCATTAAAAAAAAAATAATTCTGTTAAATTATATTATAATTGACATTGCTGAACTGGAAAATTACTTCGAAGACAATGGTTTCGAATCAAATATAATATAATATTTTATTTTTTTTTATAGAAATATTTGAATTAATAAAAGAGGAGAAAGATCTGCCAAGAAGTGTAAAAAACGTTATGAGAGCTTTTCATACTTGCATGCATTACGGTAAATCACCAAATAAATATGACTTTTTTTTTATTTCACGTGATGGTTATGAGGAAACAAAAGGGTATTAATGAGTTTTTCTTTATATAGATGGTTTAAATCCTGACAGTAAAGCTTGGATAAAAAATATCACTAGGCAAGCTGGAGGTTTTCCATTGATTGGAGAGTATCCTCAAGAATCGTCAAATTTTAATTGGACTGATATTTATTTGAAGCAATTCAAAACTTACTTCACGAGTTTTCCATTTTTAATAAAAATTGATGTAAATCCATTCAACTCGAGTGAAAATATAATACACGTAAGTCATTTCGAGTATTTATATTATTGATAGATCAGACCTAAACAGCAATCGCAATTGATGAAGTGATCGTTGCTTTCGTGGAATGTAGTAACGGAATACGTGGGTCATCTGCAAAGGGGATGATGCCTCCATGAAAGACTTTCCTTGGGAAACTGATCTTTATTTAGGTGTTATACAGGTGCCTCAATACTCTACAAGGCTGATCCATTGGCCTATGGGCACTAAAAGTGCCTGCCGTTTTAAAAGATTATCGTAAGTTTGGCCAGAAGCGAGATGGTGAGAGAAGGACTCAATATATACAGGATAGTTCACCCCCGAAAAATTTCTGAAGATATTCGACCCCGAGTTCCGAAGAGTCATAGACATAGTTGAATGTAAGCAACACGAGTATCTCGAATGACATAATAGCGATATTCAACCTCTCGCCACATTCACACAGGAACAGTGGCACGTTATCCTATGGGCATAAAAGAAAATTGTCTGGAGTCCCACCAACAGGGTATCCCAAAGCAATATTTTAGAAACTCATTACTTTAGTAAAAATATTGAAATTCAAATCTGTCTGGGGTACCACGAAGCTGTAAGGCTTCACTGCACGGGAATCATTTATTCGTTGCTTTAACACTTCGATCATTATCTACAGTGGAGGAGACATAGACACTGACTTTATAAAGAAATCCAAGAACGCCGTGTCTGGAGATTTGGGACCTCAGCAACTCCCGATTCAATATTTGGGCAGATGTTAATCGAGGTACAATCTCATATTGTGGAATTGAGATTAGAGTCACGTCTTACTGGAACATCATTGTCTGAATGTTCTCTTCCAATTGATGCTACGCAAAATGTGGAGAGAGATTGAATATCGTATGATGCCATTTAAGATGCTCGTGGTGCTTAAGTAAACTTGACTAGTTTCTGTGTAAATGAGCTTTTTTTCCTTTTACAGATTAGTCCGCATCTTGTCCCATGGATGGAAGAAGATAAATTATACAAACTTGTCAATTTGTTCGAACAATTCTTGTACATGAAAGAGAAAGAAATTTCCGACATACTTTGGTTTAAAGAAATCTTTTCTGATGTATGAAATGTCTAAATAAGTTTTCGGTATTAATATATATAAGATTTATTTATAAATATGTAAATATCTAATTTAAAATTTGTACAGTTAACAGAATCATATTATCAATTGGAAATAGATAATAAGGAACGTCAGTTAGTAAAAATTAATGAATTAAAATCGATTTATCCGGAAGTAAGTATTTACTTATTAATAGAAATTTTCACATACCTTATTATAACTATTCCTTTTTTTATTTTATGCTTATTTAGGTGGATTGGTTACCTTTTCTCAATAATCTGTTTGATGGTTTTCTAGAATCAAACACCGTCATAACAGGTGACGACAAAGTCTTGTTAGATGGAAAAACATGTATTAAAAGAACTTTCGAAATTCTCAAGAATGATAAAGTTACTAAAAGGTTCGATTTACTTTGGTCAATTTCTTATGTTCCTATTAGCTTCTATACAATATTTTCGCATGTTTTTTCTGTGTAAATGAATATCTCATTACGTTTTTCTCATTCATTTAAATAGCTTTGTTTGCATGTTCATTTATATTAGATTATTGTTGAATTACGGCGGTGCTATTTTTGCAATGGAATTTCTTGATATTCAAGATTTTCTTGAAGATGAAACGTTTAATTACCCTAATAGTATCCCATTACCTATAGAATCTGAGTATAATAATTGGGTTATATGTAAAGCCTATCTAGGAGAAACAACTGGTCCAGTTTTCAATTATTTATATGGAAGATATAAATATAAGAACACTGCTGTAAGCATATAATCGTGAGAAATTATATATTCAATGTATCATAAATTTCAACAGTTTAATATTATTCCCCGTGTTAGAGCAAAGAAATGTTCGATTATATAGTAAAAGTTAAGAAAGAACTGGTCGATCAATCGACATGGTTAGATGAACCAACCAGAAAAGCAATTCAAGACAAAGTAAGTAGAAAATTAATCATTTCCTAACGTTATGCTTATTCAAACACTTAAATATAATATATTTTAATATAGTTGGATCACATGGTGACATTCATAGGTTTACCACCTTGGACTCAAGACGTTGAAAAGTTGGACGAATATTATAAATTAGTATGTCCAACAATACGTTTTGTTGTGTATTTTGCATGTACGCTATATAATAGTCACTATATGTTTTAATAGTTACCTGAAATGGCGGACAATTTTTACGAAAACGTCTACAAACTAAATGAATTTAAAGAGAAAAAAGATGCTTCGTTTTATGGAAAGAAAAATGACAGGACTGAGTATGTTGATTTACTTTTGAAATATATTAACAAACATAAATAAATTATAAACTTATCTCAAAATTTCATAAATTAATTAAAACAAATTATTATTTTGAAGATGGCTACCATATTTCAAAGAGAAAAAAGATGCTTCGTTTTATGGAAAGAAAAATGACAGGACTGAGTATGTTGATTTACTTTTGAAATATAAAAATAAACATAAATAAATTATAAAATCTGCTCGGTTTAGAGTTTTATACACTGTTTAAGTGAATAATGGAACAAACAATGATTTTCGTGACGTCTGATAATTTTCATTGTCACGAAAGCCATTACTTGGCTCTGATTTTTCCCTTTTTTCCTTTAAAACATAGTAAAAAAAAAAAACTNGGATATAAATAATGGAATTTTATTTTAAATGATAAATGATGAGAAAATAAAATATTATTAATATGTATTCTTTTCTTATAGATGGTTTAGATTACGATAAATTATATTGGATAATAAATAAAGCTATTGAAGCTGGAGGTTTCCCATTGATCGATAAGAGTTTTAATGAACGACGATTATTTTATAATTGGCCTGATGTTTATATCAAGCAATTTAAAACTTACTTCATCTCTTCCCCGTTATTGATAAGCATTTATTCGAATTATTTAAATACGAGTGAAAATGTGATATATGTAAGCTATTGTGATTATTTATATAGGCTGATATATTGTAGTTAAATATATAAAAAAGTTAAGCAAACGATTGATACTGTTTTTCTTTTGTTTCAGATCTCTATACCTAATTCTGCACTTTCTTCTCCGAATAAAGAATTTTTACGTATAATCGCCTCGTTCTTCGGTAGTAATAAATCCGCTGATAAAGATATCGAAGACATACTTTGGCTTCATAATTATATTTCTAATGTATTAAATGTTTAAATATTTATTCCGATATTAGTACTTTCTATTATATAGATATTTAATTAAAAATTTCTGTAGATTTCACGTCCATCCTCTGAATTATTGGCAGATGATCATGAGTATGAATTAATAAAAATAAATGAATTAAAATCGATATATCCAGATGTGAGTATTTGAATGGTTAATAAAAGTTTTCACATAAATTGTTATAATTATTTTCTTTTATATTTATTCAGATCGATTGGTTGTCTTTTCTAAAAAATCTACTTGAAGACTTTCTAGAAACAGGAACCACTATTACTGGCAACGATAAAGTCTTCTTGCTTGGAAAAACATATATTAAAACTATCTTAGAACTTCTCAACAATGGAACAATTTCTCAAAGGTTTTTTTACTTTAAACGATTTCTCATAAAAATTTTTATACTATTAATTATTATATAATGGCAAAAGCTTAATGTTGAGGATAGAGATGAGTTTTATAAATATTATAAATGCTAATATGGAGTAAAACCTTCATTAAGTCGAGATATGGCACATGATTTCCCCTACTTCTAACTACCAAAATTTAATAGAATCAATGCCCTTAATACACAAACCTCTCTGCAAAATTTCAGAAAATTTCTACAAAAAGCACAGGAGATATTAACCTTCAAAGAGGGTGAATAAAATCGTGTCCCCACAGACACAGTAAATTCCATACGTACAGGAAAACCCTCAATTTGGCTGCATTTCTCGACGTTTGAAGGTTTCTAGATAAAAAATGTACTCTTGGAGGTCATTTTTTGACCCGCCAAGGAAAGAAAATATTATAACTCTTATCAGTTAATGAATTTAAATACATTTATTTGATGTAGTTAAAGCTTTAATCATTATTGTTGTTAAATTAAACACAGTTAATTAATTTTATTTATTTAATTACTTATTCATTTTATATTAGGCTATTATTGAATTACGGCGGTTCTGCTTTTCTGACAGAGTTATTTACGTATAATTATCTTGAAGGAAGTAGTCTAAAGTTAAAACATAAAACAGCTACGAATGTAAAATGGTCTCAGTGTAAAAGTTTCTTTACACAAACAGTTAGTCCCGCTTTGGATTATTTATATGGAAAGTATAGAGAAGAAAAATTTATTGTAAGAAGATAATTTTCATCTTTAGTAATAAAATATACTATGTAATGTTAATATTTTGATGATTACTTTGTGTTAGAGCGAAGAACTGATCGATTATATGATGATGGCTATGAAAGAAATGGTAAATCAATCGACGTGGTTGGATGAATTAACCAAAGAAGAAGTCCAAGACAAAGTAAGTAGAAAAAGTAATCACTTTATAACGTTGTGCTTATTCAAACACTTTTTAAACATGTTTTAATATAGTTGGATCACATGATAATACACGTGGGTTTTGCATCTTGGACTCAAGACGTTGAAAAATTAGAAGAATACTTTAAATTTGTATGTACAGAAAAAGAGTATATTTGACTTCGTTATATGTTATATATAAATTTATTTATTTATATTTAATAACGTCTATTGTAAATTTTTATAGCTTCCTAAAATGACTGACAATTCTTTTGAAAATATGAATAATTTAAATAAGTTCTTATTAAAGAAGTTATGCTCACTCTATCGGAAGAACAATGATAGAACCAAGTATGTTAATTTTAAATTTGAATTAATAGCGAGTTTATGGCCGAAGTTTTCATCTTTAAAACGTGAACGTTGAACGTCGAGCGCCTCTATTTTGTAAGCGGCGCTCGNTTGTACATGAAAGAGAAAGAAATTTCCGACATACTTTGGTTTAAAGAAATCTTTTCTGATGTATGAAATGTCTAAATAAGTTTTCGGTATTAATATATATAAGATTTATTTATAAATATGTAAATATCTAATTTAAAATTTGTACAGTTAACAGAATCATATTATCAATTGGAAATAGATAATAAGGAACGTCAGTTAGTAAAAATTAATGAATTAAAATCGATTTATCCGGAAGTAAGTATTTACTTATTAATAGAAATTTTCACATACCTTATTATAACTATTCCTTTTTTTATTTTATGCTTATTTAGGTGGATTGGTTACCTTTTCTCAATAATCTGTTTGATGGTTTTCTAGAATCAAACACCGTCATAACAGGTGACGACAAAGTCTTGTTAGATGGAAAAACATGTATTAAAAGAACTTTCGAAATTCTCAAGAATGATAAAGTTACTAAAAGGTTCGATTTACTTTGGTCAATTTCTTATGTTCCTATTAGCTTCTATACAATATTTTCGCATGTTTTTTCTGTGTAAATGAATATCTCATTACGTTTTTCTCATTCATTTAAATAGCTTTGTTTGCATGTTCATTTATATTAGATTATTGTTGAATTACGGCGGTGCTATTTTTGCAATGGAATTTCTTGATATTCAAGATTTTCTTGAAGATGAAACGTTTAATTACCCTAATAGTATCCCATTACCTATAGAATCTGAGTATAATAATTGGGTTATATGTAAAGCCTATCTAGGAGAAACAACTGGTCCAGTTTTCAATTATTTATATGGAAGATATAAATATAAGAACACTGCTGTAAGCATATAATCGTGAGAAATTATATATTCAATGTATCATAAATTTCAACAGTTTAATATTATTCCCCGTGTTAGAGCAAAGAAATGTTCGATTATATAGTAAAAGTTAAGAAAGAACTGGTCGATCAATCGACATGGTTAGATGAACCAACCAGAAAAGCAATTCAAGACAAAGTAAGTAGAAAATTAATCATTTCCTAACGTTATGCTTATTCAAACACTTAAATATAATATATTTTAATATAGTTGGATCACATGGTGACATTCATAGGTTTACCACCTTGGACTCAAGACGTTGAAAAGTTGGACGAATATTATAAATTAGTATGTCCAACAATACGTTTTGTTGTGTATTTTGCATGTACGCTATATAATAGTCACTATATGTTTTAATAGTTACCTGAAATGGCGGACAATTTTTACGAAAACGTCTACAAACTAAATGAATTTAAAGAGAAAAAAGATGCTTCGTTTTATGGAAAGAAAAATGACAGGACTGAGTATGTTGATTTACTTTTGAAATATATTAACAAACATAAATAAATTATAAACTTATCTCAAAATTTCATAAATTAATTAAAACAAATTATTATTTTGAAGATGGCTACCATATTTCAGAGTTGGAGGAGCACATCCTATTATATTTAATTCACTTGAATTTAATAGTATTGGTAAGAAAAACTTTATTACTTTTATGGGAATTTTATTCGAATAATAGTTGCCTTTATTAAGAACATTTTGTCTGTAAAACTCGACTGTATTTGCTCTCTCTTTCCCTATCTTTTCACGACACTACCTTCGATCTATGTGTTTTTCTCATTAGGTAATTTTGTATCTTAATCGTTCAATTATGTATATTGTGTTATAACTTACAAATATGTCTTAAGTACAGTATATCTTATACAATAGGTATCTTCTCATTACTGATATATGTAAAGAAACACTCATTATAAAGATACCAGTTGCCATTTTAAGTATGATTTGTTTTAGAAATCGAGCTTATATAAAATAAAATTAAAATATTTTATTAATAGAGAGGTTGCGGCCAACGTTTTCAACGTGTACGTCATACGTTCAGCGCCGCCATCCTGTAAGCCTAGAAGTTTGACAATGGCGTTTGAAACGTCAGTGGAATCATGCTCGACGTTCTATTAGAGAGTTTGCGGCCTTGAAAGGAGTATATGCAAAGCAAAGGAATCAATAGCAGCAGAGAAAATATTCAGTTTGAAATACAGTGGTACCAGTAGCGTGACGTGACATTTGATGATAGGGAAGCTGTGTTTCTATAAGAAGCCGACTTCCAGGGGCAATCAGTCAGCAATGGTCTAGGGTCCATTCGTATTCGTTTGTTCGATAAGCCAGTAAAAACCGTAGACTTCTCTAAATGTATTTTTAATTAATAGATTATCTAACGCACTTAATAAATAAGCAAGTTCAATATAATTAACTCTCTTATATTAGATTTAATAGATTCTATACGCCCTCTAAATGCCAATTCTCGCT